CATGGAGGCAGGGATTACAGAATGCCAACAGATGAGATTATGTCCACAGAAACCCACTGGGGAAGTAAAATGTGTAGCTGGAGTTATGTTGTTTCCCTTTTGGAGACTCAAGGATATCCACATATGGGGGACTAGGTAAGTCATGAGCAGTGCAAATGTTAATACACTTACCCATTTCTCAAAGTCAAGCACCTTCAGAGCTGGCGTTAGTCCCAGGGAGGGTGGACAGGGCAATTCTATGATTGTACTCCACAACTAAACCACAAGAATGAGGCTGAGGTGTGACTACAGATCGCCTCCTCCATTAAAAGGGCAATTCAGAAAAATAGTGGTTGCATGGCAGTGACTGTATCTCTCACAAAGTTTCTGGGGACTACAAGGACCGAGCCTCTAGAAATCCAAGAGAAGAACCCTGAACCACAGCTTAACAAATTCTTGGGAGACCACACAGCTTTTAAGTAAGGAGGTAAAATTAATCTTTACCCAGAGAGTAGTCTTCAAATTCTTCTGCATGACATCCCTGTAGAGCTCCCTCTGCCTTTTGTCCAGACGACCCCAGTCCTTCTTGGTGAAATACACAGCCACGTCTTCGAATGTCACTGGAATCTGAAACAGGTATTCCCTGTTCAATAGATGCATATTCAGTGACAATCCTGCTGCTCAGTTACAGGCTGTACAGGCACAGGGTAAATCCAATTAGGGTTTGTTCTGTGATGAAGTGGAAGAAGAGAAGAGAGGGAGTGTGTGCATGGGGGATAAAATGGGGGCAGGACAGGTTAGGGAAAAATGTGTTGGGGAAAAAAGAATGAAGGAGACAGAAGTGGGGAGGGTCAGGTTGAAGAATAAGGAGAGAGATGGAGATTTAGAAAAATTCAAATGTAAAGAAGTCACCGCATTAAGAGTCACTTGAAATAAAATGAAATGTGGGGGACAGTCTATTTCTCTCTCTACCTTCTCCCTTGATAGCTTTTCTTCCTTCTCTTTGCTTTGGAAGTATTACTCTCGGTCAGCTCTTCATGGGCTCAAGCTTGGACCATCTCAGAGCTACATCCAGAATCAAGACCATTTTCAAAGTACCACCAGCATATTCCTCTTCAATGCACTATCACATTCCCTGAGAGAAGATTAGGCTTCCCCTCCCCAGGGCTATCATCTGATAGCACTCTGCCAGGGACTCAAGAACTGAAGGCTCAAGAAAGTAAATAAGCTGGCAATATTCTCTCATAGTCAGGACTCTTTTTAGACATGAGTATTCAACCAATACAAAATAAAATTAGTGGGTTCACCTCAGGTGGTAACAGAATTGTTTAGAGTACAAAAATACTTTATTTTACACATTCACTAACAATCTCGCCTTCACTCTCTCCATCACCTCACCTCTTCCCTCATCTGAATTAACATTCAGTGGTCCTTACCTTTTGCCCACATTTCCCAATCTCCTGATAAATTAGCTGGAAAGCCTCTACAAGGGCAACAACCTCATCACATGTTTCTGGATGAAGTCTCTGAACCCATGTCTGGATTCCCTCAGGCAAGATGGTCAGGAATTACTTAAGAATCAGCAGCTCAATGATCTGCTCCTTTCTATGGAGGTCCGGCTGCAGCCACAGATGGGAAAGTTCACAGAGTCGGCTGTACACCTCTTGGGGTCCTTCTGCTTCCTGACAGCAAAACTGTCTAAAGTGTCTGCAGTGCTTCTCCATGCTGATGCTGTACTGTTGTAGGGTGGCTTCCCTCTCATTACTGGAGTCAACTGTCCCAGACAGGGATAGAGTGGGTGTGTTTTCTGCCTGCACTGTTTCCGCTGCTAGTCGATGGCTGAATACGGCTTGCTCCTCCATCTTTACTTCA